TGGACACTGAAGGGGGGGCTGAGACACACTTAATATTATAATTGTTCTGATGGAATTTGAATTAAAGGATTTTTATCAGAAACATAATTAATGTGCACAAATAAGGAATAGTTGTATTAACCATACATGGAAACAGAGTTTTATGGTAACCCCCATTGAAAAGTCTTAAATCCAGCCTGTTTGCAGCCTTTAAATTATTTATTGTTTATTCATTTGGATCCCCATTAGCTGTCAGTAATTTGGCAGCTACTCTTCCTGGGGTCCTTTTAAAATTATACATTTTAAAATGATCAGTAGCTTCATAATGAAATGATTTCTAAGGGGGGGTTAGCCACTGTCTGCATCACGAGACTCAGCTGATCCCTCTGCTGCTAGCAAAGCCTCTAAAACTACCGAAACCACCGTCTGATTATTTCACAAACATCCTTAACTTGATGCCATTTTGTTTCTATGAGAATAAAGCGAATAGATGTTGAGTGTCAACTGGTTCCAGTCTGATTTGGGAGCATTGGGTTAGCATCACAGACATGTTAGCATGCTATTAGCATCAGCAGCTAGCTGCTGGTGATGAGCTGAACTCACCGGGTGGATGGGATGATACCGCCGCGCTCCGATCACACAGCCCCGGGTTAGCGGAGGTTTAGGCGCTCATCTCCGCTGACCTGCGGCTGGGTGAGCCAGGAAACCCGTGACATCCAACCCGCTGTCAGTTACTGAAGTCTGGGACACTTCCTGAGGGCGGCGCTGCTGCTTCCTGGGAGGAAAATAACCTGGAATCAGAAAATATGATCAAAAACCGGTTTAAACCAGTTTAAACCCAAACGGAACCAAACAGTTCTGGATGAGCTCACTAACTAGAAAGGGTTTTCTTAAAACTACAATGGATGATTTACAGAAATTATAAGTTAGTAGTTTGATTCTTTCAGTTAATGACAAAATACACTGCCTAAAAAAAGTGGCACAATATAACTAAAATCAAATAAAACTCCTCTAGAATCAATCTGGCTGGATGATCTAGTGAACAGTAAAGTGCCTTGAGATGACATGATGTGAATTGGCTCTATAGAAATAAACTGAATAGAATTTAATAAAGGAGTGGTTCTACAGGTGGGGACCACCAACCACTTCTCAGTACCTTTGCTCTCTGGCTGATGTTTTGGTCACTATTTAATGTTAGTGGTGCTTTCACACTCATTTTAGCGTGTGACGAACTCTGCCACCAATACAGGTGCTCAGGCAGTGCAACTCATCCAGGATGGCACATCCAGCTGTGGCTGGAAGGTTTGCTGTGTTTGTCATCATAGTGTGCACATGGTGGAGGCCATACCAGGGGGTGTGGAGGAGGCTGTAAGCCAAACATATGTCTGCACAAACTGATAGAAACAGACTCCAAGAGAATGGTATGAGGGCCTGACATCCACAGATGCCTGGATCCTGGATCCATCCACCCTGAGGCTGTCCAGGAGGTGGAGAATGCTTTAGTCCAGGGATCCGTTTCAAGAAGCAGGTTTACTGGAAACTCTAAGTATTCTAAACCCAAAATCAGGGAAACTCTGACTATTCCAGTTGACAGTTTCCTAATCCTCTGCTTCTGTTGCCGTAGTAACATCCTCCCAGAGTTAACCCAGTCAGCAGCAGGTTTTTCTTCAGTAAACATAGTCTGTTTGGTCTCTGCTCTCCTTACAGCCAATTACGCCATTTTATTTCCTGATTCAGTCAGATTGTGTGTGTGTGTATATATATATATATATATATATATATATATATATATATATATATATATATATATATATATATATATATATAAATAATTCACTTGGTCAATTACACACATTAGGTTTTAAAAACAAACATTGCATGTCTATTTGACCAGGATCTATCCAAGAATGATCGGCATTATTTCATAGAGAATAAAATATTTATAGGGAGAGGATTCTACAACTCAGTGACAGGATATGAGATTTATTTGTTTTTGGTTTGTTTAATGTGAGATGCGGATAATTTTATTTTATTTAGTTATATTTACAGTACATGAAAAACTAATGAAATTATTTTCAGATTACATATAAAAAGATTCATCAATTTCACAGGGGAAAAGGAATGACTGTAGGGTTAGGATTAGGATTCACTGGATGATAACCTACTGAGCCTAGTGGATCAATCTGAAGCCATTCTATGGGACTGATAGCCGCTTATAATCACCATTTATCAGGATGATACATTCATGTCACATCAGCCACTTAAATGTGTAAATATTTCTAGATTAATAAACTTGAATTCTTACCAGTATATATTTTTTTTACTTTCTACAATTCAGTTTCTGCTACAAAAATGTAATTTAGAAAATATATTATTGCAGTTCAGTTTAGGAGTGTGATTTTGGTCCGGAAGAATCTTGTTTTAGTGATCTAAAAATGGAACAACAGAGAGGAGAGAGCTTTTAATAAATGTAAAAACTCGTGCAACAATCTTCTCCCCCTTCCTCTCCTTTGCAGCTGTAGTGCAGTTTCTCTTTTAAACATTCTCTTTTTTTATGTAATTTTTTTTGCATTTCTTCATTAAATCTTTAGTTCCAGTGGGGTGAAATAGGAACTTCCTGTTGTCTGTTGTCATGGTAACTCAGGGCTCCACTGATGATGGGTTTTCATAATTGTTTCGCACACTTTTAACTCTGAGTGGACCCAGTTAAAATTGGTTGAACTAATTGACAGCCGCTGTTGTGAAACCAAACACTCAGAGTTTCCAACTTTAGGGGAGATCAATTTAGAGTGGATGATTTGAATCTCAATTTGTTAAACCTGCTTGGTGAAACGGACCCCAGGTCTGGGAGGAGATCCCTCAGGAGACCATCCTCCAGCACATCAGGAGCAGCCCAGGTGTTGTAGGGAGGTCATAGAGGCAGGTGCAGGCCACACACAAGACTGAGCCTCATTCTGACCCGTTTTAATGACATTACATCATTACGTGTGTGACTCCAAATTGTTAATTGGGCAATATGTTTGATTTGCATCGACTAGTTTGTTGTGAGCACATTCATCTTTGTACAGAACAAAGTAGGTAATAAGAACATTTCATTCATTCTGATCTAGCATGTGTTATTTCAGGGTTCCTTTTATTTCTTCAGCAGTATAAAATATTAGAACAGTAGATATATTTGCATTATCCATCACAAAACATATAGACCAATTTTAACACCTCATGTAGATTTAAGTCTAGAAATATTCTTGGCAAGTTAAAAAATGGTTTTGGATGTCTGTCAAAAATATAAAAGTAATAAAAGAGTACAGATTAGTAAAATAAAAGGAACCGTTTGGTTATTTACATCTTATCAGGCTTTGATAAAGCTTCTAGTTAGAGTGGCTCAAGTTATCCTGAGCTATCTCTATAGTTCTGCTGCTATAGGCTTAGACTGCTGGAGGACATAGGGACCCCTTTTTCATCCTTCTGCTTCATTCTATCTCTATTCTCCCACTTTGCAGAATCTGTTAGTTCAATCTCTAACGTTCTGCTCTCTCTGCTTTTCTCATAGTAGCTTCATCTTTGAATCAATCTGACTGGATGATCTGGTTGATCTGGAAAGAGCCTTGAGATGAAGTGTTGTCAATTGACGCTATAGAAATAAATTTAATTGAATTAATCTATATTAAGTAATATCAGCCAAGGACCCATCAAGGAAAGTTTGAATGGTTACTTCTGTATTTGCCTGACAGAACTTTACTGACATTTCTTCTTTGTACCAAATGAAAGCTCAGGCACCACCATTGTACCACAGTCACAGCTCACTGCTCCACAACAGACTCCTGTCAGTCAATTAGATAATTCGGCATATTTTAAAACAAAATAAAACATAAAATTTAGAGGAAACGCTGACATAAATAAAAGACTCATTTTAATTTTTTTTTTTTTGTCTCCAATGCAGACATTAGAAACCAGTGACAATTTCCATTGGTTCACACATTGATGCAGTCAAACATGAAATGCCTGAACAGTATTGCTTTGTTTACGCTCCCTCAACCTTCAGGTGTTTAATACTTTCACATCCAGGCTGTTTGTTTGACAAAGAGTATTTTTTTCTTCTACTCTTCACAACAGCGTTTCTTCACATCCTCTCTCTGTGTTGGAGCCATTTGTCCAACTTCCAGCTGAAGTTTGGTCATTTTCCGCTGCTTTCAAAGTGCTGCTGCTAACCCGTTTTGAGCAAAGATCTCTCAACAATAAAGGAAACACAAGAAAAAAACAATGAAACTATTAATTATCTGCGGCTGAGATCAGTTTTACTCTGTTTAGCGCTTTGGGCCACAGCAGCATCCGTCTATATCCTCTTTCAGCCCCTGTGAACTGTTTCACAGGGTCTCTCACAGCAGAGGATCTTCCAGAATCTTTTATCCAAACTTATAAAGTCTCTCCTGTCTTCTTAAAATAATCCCAGGTCAGGTTTTCCTCATCATCCTACGGGTCTGCCAAATATGAAACTTGTTATAGGCCGTCTGAAACATGTCCTCCAGGTGGCCTGTAAGCTGTGGAAAGAGCAGATATTCAGTTCAGGTTCAGCAGAGTAAGAAGCTTCTGTCCATGAAAATCCTTCTGACTTACGTTTGTACTTAAGTACTGACGCTGGATTTTCTCCTGAAAAGGACGAAGCTTGGTCATTTGAAACCGTTCCAAGTTTGTCTTCATTTTTGTCACCTGAATGGTATAAAAATACAAAATTAAAGTTCACAAACTCAACCGTTTCTGCTAAAACGACATATACCCTAAAGCCAGGCGCACACTGTACAAATTTTTTTTTGCCCCTTTTGTGCGCAAATTTTTAGCCTGACGTAGTCCGACTCAATTCTAGTCAGAATGAGTCTGATGCTGCTCCATAGAGCTGTGATTATGGGGCGTGTTTCGAATGAACCAGGAAAAAAAATGCCTCTGCACTCAATTGGATAGACCTACAACCAATAAGAGCAACGGAGTGCGTGACGTATGTTAAGCGACGCATAGTTGTTGTCAACAAAAATCAAAGCGTGCAGTTGCACGCCTAGAATAAGAAAATGAGCCTTGATCGCGTTTCTCTGTTCCTCTTTTAAAATTAATTTGCTGTCGATATCTTCTATAACAGACCTAATAGCAGAATCTACTCACCTCAACTCAACTCACCACGGCAGCCATTGTTGATGTCACCCAAGCGCGCTTTGGTCACGTGGTTGATTACGTTACTGTTGATCATCTGTCCATCATCGTATAAAGCCCGCCCTGACAATTTGATTGGCCCGCCAGATATTGTGCTAGCATACTCGCGCTACTGCTGAGCAATGCCAGACCGAACTTCCTGACCTCAAACGTTGTGGGCGGGACTAAGTTCGGAATGGCACCCAGGCTAGCAGATTTTTGGATCGGGCCGACTTTCATCCTGATGGTGCGTGGTGTAGCTGTACAGGGGCTAACGAGGGGCCATCAGGAAAACCCAGCAGCATGGCGGGGGTGCAATGAGTGAAATGGAGTTCTTTCTGTCAAACTGACAGACCGTAGTAGCCATGTTTGCTCAGCCATGTCTTTGTCGAAATACGTCGTCTCCTTTTCTTTTTAGGGCTTTCAGCACAAAATTGCCCAAATATCCAAGGCAGCGCGTTTCACTCTAGCGAGCTTCATGTTCCTCTTCTACTGGTTTGGCTCCCAGATAGACGAGTCCGAGTAGCGCCATCTCACTGCGGAGCTGTGTGCAGGTAGATCGTATCAGAGCGTCGGGTCGCA